TTATGTTAATAAGATACTTGAGAAGTTTAGTGGATCAGATATGAGTGTGTCATCGACACCTGTAGACTTAAATCTACATTTTACCAAGAATAATAATGAAAGTGTCTCACAGTTTGAATATTCTCGGGTAATTGGAAGTTTAATGTATCTGATGAGTTGTACTAGGCCGGATATAGCTTACTCGGTTAGCAGGTTTAGTAGATACACAAGTAATCCCGATGCTTCTCATTGGAAGGGCATTGTGCGGGTGTTAAGGTATTTACGCTGCACTTGGGATTATGGGCTGCATTATACTCGATATCCAGCGGTGCTTGAAGGATATAGTGACGCGAATTGGATATCAGATATAAATGACTCAAAGTCCACTAGTGGATATGTGTTCACTCTTGGTGGGGCAGCCGTGTCTTGGAAATCTTCCAAGCAAACTTGTATATCTAGATCAACGATGGAATCAGAGTTTATTGCTTTGGATAAAGCAACAGAAGAAGCAGAATGGCTTCGCCATTTCATTAAAGATATTCCACGTTGGTCTAAACATGTGCCAGCTATTTGTATTCATTGTGATTGTCAATCTGCAATTGGTAGGGCACAGAGTAATATATATAATGGAAAGTCTAGGCATATCCATCGTAGACATAATTCCATACGACTACTACTCTCGAATGGAGTTGTCTCTTTAGACTTTGTAAAGTCTAAGGACAACATTGCGGATCCACTAACCAAAGGGTTAAGTCGAGTGTTAGTCGAAACGTCGTCAAAAAGAATGGGGTTGAGGCCTTTGGAAGTTACCGGAATGGAAACGCAACCTAGTTGACTGGAGATCCCAAGATCTAGGTTCAATGGGACAACCTAATTGCGTGTAACGGTGGTATGTCACTGAGGAGGTTAAACCTCTAGCCATTCCTTCTATCAATGATACCTGAAAGTGTAGAGGTTAAGCTGAGCTTTTAATGACTCTAGTGTGTTAACCTGTTGAGCTGCGTATTGCAGCATACTCAAGTAGAGTCACCTATGTGAGTGTGAAGTGGGGCCGCTTCTAGAAGAATTGGGCAGGCCAAGATTCTTTGAAACCACTCGCTGAACCAGGCTAGTGTCCAGGGCCACACAGGGCACACCAGTGAGAACAGAATGGTGGTAGGAGTAATTCCCGCTTGAGATCTATTGTTTCAGTTTACATAAACGGCAGAGCAGTTCAAGATGTCTTATTCACTGATCATCCAGTAAACACGATAGGTTTTCACTGGGAGAGGTTCAAGGCCAAAAGCTACCTTCTCTGATGTCGGGGTTAGTTTGTTGTACTCTGTCTTCGAGTCATTATTGTTGAACGATGTCCGTTTGTTGAGTCTTTCGGTCAATTTTTATTCATGTGGGGGATTGTTGGAAAAAATGATTTTTGCTGACTCTAATTTAATATTAAAGTGTGGTGACTTTAATTAAATATTAAAGTGAGTCCCAACCTTTTATTGTGTTAGGTCTAAGTAAGCCAAAAACCATTGGGTTTTGAATAAGAAATTGCCAAGAATTGCCTCATGATGTTAGATTCATGAATAGGATTTTAAAGAGTATTTAAATCCTTTTTCTTGGCTAAAGAGTGTGAATTCTTTGGGCACCCAAACTTTCATATTTTTGGAAAGGGGCTATAGATGCTTGGTGTTTTAATGACCAGCCTTAAAGGCTGGAGGCTCTTATTCTCTCCCCTTTACATGTATAAATTGAGACCGTCCTATCAAGTTTCAAATAGAAATTTTTTGCTTCCATTTTACAAGTCAGTTTGTCAGAAAGTTCCTACATTGAGAGAGTGCTGCCACTGTTCTTGTTCGCTAAGCTAGACAGAAAGTGCTTTTGCCATAGCTGGTTTTGACCGTCATATCCTGGAGATAGACGTCGGGATTCCTCAAGCACTCGACCCGTGAGGGGGCGAAATCTGTTTCAAGGAAACTGCTTTCATGCAGGCTTCGGTTTTGTCTCTTTACCCTTTTATTGTTTTGTGTATTTCTGTTGAAATTTAATTGTAATTATCAGCATATGTTGAAAGTTCCTACATTGAGAGAGTGCTACCACTGTTCTTGTTCGCTAAGCTAGACAGAAAGTGCTTCTGCCATAACTGGTTTTGACCGTCATATCCTAGGAGACAGACGCCGGGATTCCTCAAGCACTCGACCCGTGAGGCAGCGAAATCTGTTTTAAGGAAACTGCTTCCGTGTAGGCTTCGGTTTCGTCTCTTTACCTTTTATTGTTTTGTGTATTTCTGTTGAAATTTAATTGTAATTATCAGCATATATTATTGGTATATAATTTGATTTCTTCATAAATCTATTTATTTAATTTCACAATTTGAACAATAGTATTTATTTTATTATTTTGGGGACGTTACATTTCTTATTTCTTAAATTATTTCCCATGAATCCCCCACCATGTCTATTCCACATCCAGGGCTGTTCTAAATTCGAATTATTTTACTCCTACTACCTCGGGTAAAGAGTATATGAAGGATAATGGTGGTTGTCATGGTGAAGGATGATAGACATAGATTTTAATTTCTAAGTTAACTTTATTTGAGTTAAGAGAATGATAAACATAGATTTTAGAATAATAATGAAACAAAAATAGAAGGTAAAGATGGAGAAATGAGTGATGTAAGCTAGAGAGAAAGGGAAACATTTTAGAGAGAGCACTACCATCTCATACTTTCAAAAAACTTGGAAAAAAGAAGAAGGTAAGGAATTATCCAGTATGGTTGAGGGGGAAAATTTTGATTTTATGGTCGTGCAATAAACGCTTTGTTGAAATAAACAGTTCTATCCAAAATTACACTTTAGTATGAAGTTTAGGAGGTTTAAGTGTTACAAATGAAATTATAGGGGGACTCCATGTTTTTTGGGTAAACCACAGGGGATTAAAGTGTAATTTACCCTTCTTTTAACATGAGAATGATAAAAATTATAAGAAAGTGGAATTTTCGTAAAATTCATATAAGTATGGTGACTTCACTTTCAATTTCTTTTCCCCAAAAAAAAGTACATGATCTTTTTTTTTCATTAATTTAATTTTTTTTTTGTGGTGTTACATACACTAATTGATATATTAATTAATGTAGTAACATATGTTATCACATTGTCATTTCAAAACTACGACCCCAATTATTATACAAATTACGAATATCCAAAGCTTTAAAATTATATCATATCATCCGTTAATACATTAATTATATATCAATTGATACATATAATATTATTCATATTTTTCACTCTAAATCAAAATTTTCCTTTTGTAGTTTTTTCAGAAGAATTTTGATTTGGTTTTTCTCAGCTATTCAGGGCTGGGTTTGGTTTGACTTAGTACTTCAAAACTCGGACTGGCCTTGATGAGTCCAATCCGTTCAAACCCACCCCAATCACAGCCATTCCTAGTAGGTTGTCTATAGATCAAATTTAATCCAAATTTGATTTGAAAGTCCAAATTCATTTATAAAAAATTTGATCCAACAACCTAACACGAATCTGTTTAATCCATTTATTAAATGGATTGAATATGTAAAAATCCGATTTGATCCGATTATTCTTCATTTGAATGAAGAAAAAACCAAATGAAAAAAAAATCAAATTATATAAAATTATAACTCAACAAATAGATAAATAGATTGGATCGAATCAAATCTGAATCCGATCCATTTACAGGCTAGTTCCCAACACTCACACACACACACACACACACACACACTCTCTCTCTCTCTCTCTCTCTCTCTCTCTCTCTCTTTCTTTTGGGCGAAGCGGTCAAGCTATTGACATGTACTTATTTCTCTCTCACTTTTCAGACAGTTTGAATCAACTTCATTGCCCTTATTCAATTGTATGCATATGCATATATATATATTGACATGTCAATCTCTTACCTGATTGATTTTGCACATATATATAGAGATCTAAATATATTTTGAACCAGAGGTAGTGGTGTTATTGGATCATTGGTTTCTCTCTCTCTCTCTCTATAGTCTTTGTAGAAGCTTTTGTTGAAAATAATAGAAGAATTAAAACCAAAACGCCTCGAATATCCACCATTGAAACGATCTATGGTCTGTGAAAATGTATTTTGAGATTGAAACCTTTCCCCCCTCCCCTATCAGAATAGGTTTTCTTTGTTTTATAGCTACATTAAACATATTATATATTGCATTCGGCATAGATTATATATATAGTTAATAATTTGCATTTTTTGACCTTTTGAAATTGCACCAAGACTTTAAGTACACAATTTAGATTTTGCTAGGAAGAGTCGTATTTATTCTTTGAAAATACTTGCAAATACTAGAACCCGTAGATTATGATGATGTTGCAATATGAGGGGAAGGAGAATTAATTAATTCCTACAAAATTACATTGTGATTGTATTGTGGTGCATTACTAGTATATTCATCAACATTGATAAAAACTCATCAAAATTTGCATTAGGATCCATATTAATTTACTGTATAATAATAAAAACAAAGGACGACAAACAATTAAAGCAAAAATAAACTAGTGTTACCAAATGTTGTGTTTGTGGCTTAATTACACTCTCTGGTCAGTTTGGTTCTCATTTGATTCAAGAACTAAATTAGGTTGTTCAGTTCTGGGTTATTGCTGACTGGGTACTTTACTCTGCCTTTTTTAGTTTCTTGATGGTTATGTAATTGATTAAGAAAGAAATAATATTCGTTTTGCCTTTGTTTATTATATTTCTATTGTCATGTAACTTGTTTTGTTTTGTTTTATTTATTTATTTTTTCCGGCTTTTGTTTGTGAAGTTTTATCTGAGTAGGTTGTTCTTCTGACATGATTTTTTCTCACCTTAATTTTGTTGTGATAGGTTTAATTATGTGGCTATAATTTATTTTTCGAACAAGTCATTGTATTCCTAAACTGGAAACACCCTGATAAGGTGCTCCATTTGTTCATATTTGTCTCTCTGCTTTCTATTTTGAAGGTCGAAAATCTAGTTAGCAGACAAGAGAACAAAAGGGAATGAGTTCGGCGAATGCCTCTGGCGATTTGTCATCAGAGATGAAGGTGGATGCTTTTAGGTGCCTCTTTCCTCTACGCTTTCATGAGCGTCATCTACTTCAATCCACTCATCCTGATGCTAGGAAACTTAGGAAAGCTAGAGATACAACACTTGCTCTTGGTTACTTCATTTGTATTTTATTTATTTGAAACTAGCACTTTTTGCCTCTGATTTGGGGTTTGCTAGGTTCATGTCCTTACTTGCGTTGAACCGTTTGTAATCTAGGAGTTGTTGCTTTTGCTGATGGGTCAGCTTTAGCCAAGATAGGTTGCACTGTAAGTGCTTTCTGCCCTTGCCTATTCTCTTTATCTCTCACACTCTCACATTCACATCCACACCCACACCCCACACCCACTCACTCATCCACCTACAAACACCCATTTATACCAAAAAGAAAAAAAATGACGAATGAGGTTTCTTGAGTTAAGATAAGTTGTTTACATGAAATTCTGGTTTTAAATTTGTTTTTATATATAGCTAAGAAAATTAGTTTTCTGTGTTGTATTTACTAAGTTGGACTCTCAAGTCTTTTGTCTTTGTACAGACCATGTTGGCTGCCATTAAAATGGAAGTCATGACACCTACCACAGAGTCACCAGATGAGGGCTGCATAGGTTAAGAACCATCAACTGCATATTTTCTTTTCTTTTTGTTCCCTTTTCACGTTTATACATGGGGTGCCAATGCGTGATATTTTGTTGTTTGCAGCTATTGATTTCGACATGCATCCAATTTGTTCTCCACTTGTTAGGCCTGGCAAGCCAGCTAATACATCACCAGTTATCTCGAAGCAGTTATCTGACACTATCTTAAGGCATGCCATCGTGATTATTTCTATGTTATTCTTTGGTTTACTCCCGTCCTCCCAAAAAAAATTTTAAAAAAAAAAAGAAAAAGAGAGAAAGAAAACAAAAGAGAAAAAGTTGTCTCATTGCTGTGATGTTGTTCTGTTATGAAGTTTCTAAATTATGAGAGATACTAATTATTGAATTTTTTATATTATTTTAGTTTTGCTTCAATCTTGCCTTTGGATGCACTCATAAAGGATATGCGTCTTCAGCATTCAAAGCATATTCGTTTTGTGAATCTTGTATGTTGTGTAGTGTGTAGATATATGTGTCAAATGCAATTTAGTCATTTATCTTCCAAAATTTTGATTGCGTGCGCGCCTATTGTAACTTGTTTACAAGATTTTGTATTATGGTATAGGGAGTATTTTTGGCAAAAGCTTACACATTTGCATGGGTGGAAATTCTAGTGACTTCAAACTTCAAAAGACTATCAGTCATGTAGTCTTGTAATGCACCTAACAAAATATAGGATTGAAATTTCATGACCTATCTCACTACGCATGTGATGTTTAGTGCAATGATATACTCAACACAGATGATTACTGACTTTTGATGGTCTTATACCTATACTTGGAACACTTTGTTAGTTATTTAATACGTATGTATTTAACTGACTAATTATTTAGGTGGTTGTAGTTCTGGCATGATTTACTTTAAGGAGCTATCCTTGGTCAGTGGGAAATCTGCTTGGATGGCCTATTTGGTAATGTTTTATGAGACAAGAACTCTCTATTTCACTTATATAAATTGAAATATGTTCTTTATTTGACTTTTGATCTTGAGCTTTTCAATATGAATTGTGTATATCCAATAATAGATGGCCTTCAACATTGTGGTTACTGACCATATAATGTTTTTAGCTTATGGTGTCATTAAAAACGGATACCACTGCTCATTTGTTTCTTTATTGGACAAGGACGACATTTATTTTATTCTTGCAGGACGTATACTGTTTGGATGTTGATGGTGCTCTTTTTGATACTGCATTACTTGCACCAGTTGCTGCATTCTCTCATTGTAAGATATACACACCATTTACATTTCTATCATTCCTCCTGTGCATGCCTTAATTTAGTGCTGGTGGTGGCCAACAAGCAACACCCTAAATAAAAATATTTGGTTTCCATATAATCCTACTGGCTCCAAACTTAGACAAGTTATGCAAAGAGATTTTCCCCACACGGCCTACATCATAATCAACAAGCTTTCTTGTAGCTATTCTAGCTTCAACAAGGAGGAGTTTCACATGCCCAACAGATGCAAGACCTTTTGATCCGAATGTGTACTTGAATTCTATGGGGCTCGATGTGTAATGAAACCTGATTGAATAGGAGCACAAGGGTATAAGTCAAAAATTTCAAACTTATCATAGCATGAATGGTTGTCTTGTGTCTCTGTCACTCACAATTTGCTTGCTCAAAGGATATTGTCCTGTTCGATATAGTTAATGGTGTCTGAGTGAGATATGCTTGTTATAGTGTTTTTCATGATTTTATAGCATCAAGGTGAGTAGTTGGTACACGCATGCATAATGGATTTTCATGACAATGTTTGATGATGCTCAACTTGGCTTAAAAAGAGGGCAAAAAGTAGACAATGTTCTTTTGTTTCTGTTTACACCATTATTACTATATTTGATAGATTCCTATCAAAATTAATATTCTTTTGTTTCTGTATACAAAGTTATTCTTGTATTTGGTAGATTGTTGTCAAATTTCAACAAAATCTGGGTGAATAGGTAATGTTCTGCATTTGTGTTTCTGTTGAAAGCATATTGTCATGTTTGATAAAGCACCTCTGATTCTGACAATTTATTTACCATTGAATTTTTGTCTTGCAGTGCAGATCCTAGTAGTTTCTCTGAATGATGATGGAAGAGTAATAGTTGTTTCTGAGGAAGATGGAGGCAAGTTGAAATGTGAGCCGGTCAATAAAGGGAAGAGGAAGCTTAAGCTGAGCAGCGTCCCATTCTCTTTGACATGCATACTTCACAAAAATTACATGCTAGCAGACCTTACAGCGGAGGAAGAGTCCATAATGGAAACTCTTGTAACTGTGGTATTGGATTCCTCTTTTCAACTAGTGTCTCTCTACAAGCCCGGCGGACTAGTTCTTGCATACACATCAGCCATCCTGGTTTGTTTTCACCTTTTTCAGTCCACATTTTGGTGTGAGATCAAGTTCTCAAATGTTATGTTTGTTGAGACTCCACCAAATAGCCTAATATATGGCTGTATGTCCCAAACTGTTAGCTCCACAATTAGTAGGGAACCCTAGAATTTTAGAAATTTTTAGGTGTTTAAATGTAATTTAAGGCTGCATTTGGTTCAACAATTGGGGGAGATAGTTACAGAGAGAAAGGAAAAAGAAATGGAGAAGTGAATGAAATAAAAAGGTAAATTTTATTGACTTTTCCTTTCCCTCCATAAATCTATACTCAAATTCTTGATGCAATCACAGCCCAAGTTTTGTGTACTGCATTGAAGTTGTTTGGAGTATAAAAAGGGTTTTTATACAAGAAAATGCATTTCTTTCAAAGTAAGAACCTTAGAAAATGAATTTCAACTGAAATGGTTTCTTTTATCCAATCTGGAAATGATAAAGTGATAATAGGATTATAAAACTTCTTTGCCACTAAAATATTGTTTTGACTTGACTTCTAACCTTCCAGTACAAAGTATATATATGGTGCTTGTTGTAAGACACCATACGAAAACACAAATGACTTTAGTGCTGTCTACTAATGAGGAATGGTGTTATAGTTGCAAGACTGTATTGCATTAACACAACAAAGTGTGATGGAACTTCAGAAAGTTTTGAATGAAGCCATTTCTGAAATGGAGGGGGACTAGTTTTACTATGCAACAATAAGTAGTAGCTACTTTATGTTCAAATCTTTCATACCCGTTGTCTAATGTTTTTGAGGTGAGGTAAGTGATTTTTTTGGAAAATATTATCAAGAGGTTGTGTAATTAGTAAAATTTTGTTGCATGTGGATGAAGTTTTTCACTTAGTAGATTAGCATTTTTTACATATTGGAGCGGTTTAAAATGGTGAGATGATATGAATTTTAGCCTCATTTATTCGGTTGTTTATCAATTTGGATTGAGAATTGGAACTTACCATGAATATTTATTTATTTTTGTTATTGTCTGCTGCACAAGTTTAAAATACTTTAGGCATTTCTAGCTAGGGCTGTAAACAAGCCGAGCCGAGTTTTAGTATGTTTGGGCTTGTTTGTTAAGATTTTAACGAACTCAAGCTTGTTTAGGAGACTTAACAAGCCAAAAAATTTATAAATTCATACTTGCATATGAGACTAAAGTTACAATTAAAACTTTGATTATACAATTATATATACAATATGAAAAATCTAGAAATCCTCTAGATATTGATTTGTGATTATGTATCAATTTTAAGCAATAAATAATAATCCCAATCAAACAATCAAAACAAATCAACACAACGATTTTAACGTAGAAAAACTGTAATTGGAGCGCCTCCAATTGTGATAAAAAAAACCACGGACCAAAGCCACAAAACAATCCACTAACAAGACAAAGGGAATTACACAAGTGTACTCTCAATTACCTAGCGAATCCACGCCCGAATTGAACCAACCCCTATATGCCTCTTCCACCACGGTCTTCACCTCGGAACTTTGGTGTGAGATCAAGTTCTCAAATGTTATGTTTGTTGAGACTCCACCAAATAGCCCAATATATGGCTGTATGTCCCAAACTGTTAGCTCCACAATTAGTAGGGAACCCTAGAATTTTAGAAATTTTTAGGTGTTTAAATGTAATCTAAGGTTGCATTTGGTTCAACAATTGGGGGAGATAGTTACAGAGAGAAAGGAAAAAGAAAGGGAGAAGTGAATGAAATAAAAAGGTAAATTTTATTGACTTTTCCTTTCCCTCCATAAATCTATACTCAAATTCTTGATGAAATCACAGCCCAATTTTTGTGTACTGCATTGAAGTTGTTTGGAGTATAAAAAGGGTTTTTATACAAGAAAATGCATTTATTTCAAAGTAAGAACCTTAGAAAATGAATTTCAACTGAAATGGTTTCTTTTATCCAATCTGGAAATGATAAAGTGATAATAGGATTATAATACTTCTTTGCCACTAAAATATTGTTTTGACTTGACTTTTAACCTTCCAGTACAAAGTATATATATGGTGCTTGCTGTAAGACACCATACGAAAACACAAATGACTTTAGTGCTGTCTACTAATGAGGAATGGTGTTATAGTTACAAGACTGTATTGCATTAACACAACAAAGTGTGAAGGAACTTCAGAAAGTTTTGAATGAAGCCATTTCTGAAATGGAGGGGGACTAGTTTTACTATGCAACAATAAGTAGTAGCTACTTTATGTTCAAATCTTTCATACCCGTTGTCTAATGTTTTTGAGGTGAGGTAAGTGATTTTTTTGGAAAATATTATCAACAGGTTGTGTAATTAGTAAAATTTTGTTGCATGTGGATGAAGTTTTTCACTTAGTAGATTAGCATTTTTTACATATTGGAGCGGTTTAAAATGGTGAGATGATATGAATTTTAGCCTCATTTATTCGGTTGTTTATCAATTTGGATTGAGAATTGGAACTTACCATGAATATTTATTTATTTTTGTTGTTGTCTGCTGCACAAGTTTAAAATACTTTAGGCATTTCTAGCTAGGGCTGTAAACAAGCCGAGCTGAGTTTTAGTATGTTTGGGCTTGTTTGTTAAGATTTTAACGAACTCGAGCTTGTTCAGGAGACTTAACAAGCCAAAAAATTTATAAATTTATACTTGCATATGAGACTAAAGTTACAATTAAAACTTTGATTATACAATTATATATACAATATGAAAAATCTAGAAATCCTCTAGATATTGATTTGTGATTATGTATCAATTTTAAGCAATAAATAATAATCCCAATCAAACAATCAAGACAAATCAACACAACGATTTTAACGTGGAAAAACTGTAGTTGGAGCGCCTCCAATTGTGATAAAAAAAACCACGGACCAAAGCCACAAAACAATCCACTAACAAGACAAAGGGAATTACACAAGTGTACTCTCAATTACCTAGCGAATCCACGCCCGAATTGAACCAACCCCTATATGCCTCTTCCACCACGGTCTTCACCTCGGAACTGTTTTGCCCAATGTTGAATCCACAACGCTGATGTCAAATTACAAAAATGAGCCACTCCAGAATCCACCGAAAAAGAACACTCTCTTTTGTATCGAATAAACAAACAATCCTTTGATGTATACTTCTTAAACCATGAGTTGAATACTCAATCAAATATCAAAGAAAACTATCAAAATAGCCCCAGATATAAACCCTAATATCCAAGAAGAAGATCTGGAAGCGTAATCCTAAAATCTGACTAAAACACATATTTATAGCAATCTGTTCCGTAATCTCCTCTCGAGTGCCGAAATGGCCGCTCGAGTGCAAGAAATTTCGCTTGAGCGGAAAAATACAACTGCCAGTGTTTTTGCAAGCGATCAAACTTCTGGAACCAAGGATTCTCCGCTTGAGCGGGGGAATGTCCGCTCGAGCGAACAAGCAACTTTGAATGCATTTTTGCATTTTGCTTTGGGGGCGCTTCCCCTCAACCCCGCCGTGAGCGTAATCCTAAAATCTGACTAAAACACATATTTATAGTAATCTGTTCCGTAATCTCCTCTCGAGTGCCGAAATGGCCGCTCGAGTGCAAGAAATTTCGCTTGAGCGGAAAAATACAATTGCCAGTGTTTTTGCAAGCGATCAAACTTCTGGAACCAAGGATTCTCCGCTTGAGCGGGGGAATGTCCGCTCGAGCGAACAAGCAACTTTGAATGCATTTTTGCATTTTGCTTTGGGGGCGCTTCCCCTCAACCCCGCCGTGGTGCTGCCCCGGACCCGCCAAGGGGCGCGATTCCCATCATAGTCAGCGAAGTGGCAAACACAAAAGAATTAACACTACAAACTTCTCTGCAAGGCACAATTCGGGTTGGATTCATATCTAAAAACTCATAGTCTCACTGAAATAAAAGCGTGAATACAATTACAACTGAAAGAAGTTTTGTCAAACAAGATTGCCAAGAATAAAAACCTAACACATGTGATTTTTGTAGGTCCTACACCCATGTGAGAGGTTTGGTAGAAAATTTGATAATTTCTTTGGGATCCATAGCATTTTCCTATATGTATTGGATAACATATCCCTCAATTTATGTTCGTTGACTTAATATATAATACTGGATATATCTTATCCATGTTTATTTTACAAAATATATTGTGAGATATAAACAAGTAATTTCTAAGATTGCCCTCATAATATATTTTAATACCCATATTGCCCTTATGCCCATCAAAAGGAACACTGTTCAATTCTAAAAAAAAAAACACACCACCTGCAAAACTAATGCAAATAAACAAATTAAAGATTCATATTAAATCCAATAATTTTTCCAAATAAAAAAATTCTATTATATTAATGCCAACCTGATAATGATAAAAATAAATAAATAAACAAATGCCACAAAATCATTTTAAACAAGTATTTTGATTTTAAAAATAACCATCACTCATTTATCATGCCACACCCATTATTCTTACAAAAAAATCCATGAAAATAAATTATTTGAAAACAACAAATAACCATTATTCATGCTAAAAAAATTCTATCTTATAAAAATAATCATCATTGAATGTGTGTATATATTAGACAAACAAGAAGGGTAAATTTGTCTTTTTAACTCCTATCCCAGACCAAAGGATATGATATAATGGGGGGAGGGTGGGATTGTATATCTACCAATTTTGGGAGATATACAATTCCACAATAGATCCACAGTAGATTATATCCTCTCTGGAAAAAAAAGAAGTAAACATGGGATATGTGTACCCCATAGTATATAATATCTAATCTAACCCTTTATATCCAGAAATCAAACAGGGCCTAAGGTTTTATGTCTTTCTTTCAAATTTTCCACTTCTATACTTGTCCAAAAAAAAATTTCCACTTATATATTTTTTTCTCAAAATTATCTAACGCAGAACATGTAGCTGAAGAATTAATGGAGCAACTGCATTGGAATAGTTGAATCCACAGAGATCAAAGATAGAATGGTCGAAAAGCAGTTTTGCTCAAGGGTACAATGACATTAAAATAACCCAAGCAACTCGAAATCTGAATTATATATATAGCAAATAAATGAATAAATTATTAGCTATTAGATGATATTAAAGTAATTTAGATCGTTAGATTATATTAAATATATTATATATACAAGTAACACAATATAAAATCATTTTTTTTCCCCCTCATAAATTGACCCTATTTGGGAAGAGAGTTTGAGGGTAAAATAGTTAATAAAAATAAAATAGGCTAAAATAATTAATAAGACAAAATGTCACATTCAAACTATAATCATTTTATTTTTTCTCTCACAACTATTAAATTGTAACGCCCTCAAAAAAATACAAATAGCCCAACTTATAAGAGAAATGAATATAATATAATTCATTCACTTTCATATGTCAGAGTTCGTATTACAAAAGCTATTACATGCATTATACATTCATAAACATTCATCCGGAATCTAAAGCATGTGATACAAGTTAATAACAAAATAAATTCCCTACGGGCTTACATCTTTCCAAGATCACTTGGTTACAACAACAGAAAAAGTCCTAAGCTCTATGCACGTAAAGTCCTCGGCTTGAATAAACACGTAGACACAAAAATGATAAAAGAGCCTTCAGCTCCTAAGTCCTCCCAATCTATGCTATTGGAGGAAGCATATCACCTGTACCTGAAAATGGTTTCCCAAGTAGAGTGAGCCAAAGCCCAGTAGAAACAGTCTAATACAATGTATGAAGTTTAACTAAGATCTAAGTGTCAGATAAATGTTCAATATTCATGATCAACTTACATTCTTTTCATAACCATTCAATACTGATATTCATACCTTGATCAACTTAAATTCTTTCCATAACCATTGAATACTGATATTCATACCTCATTCTATTCTCAACTATTCATTTCGAGTTAATTCATTTCATTCCAAGTCATATGGCAAATATACATAATTGTTCAAATGATCCAACTGAGACTACAACTTAGTGGTTCCCTATCCACATAACCATCATACATACACTTCAACCTTGCCATTTTGCAGAAGTTTCGTCCGCGGGATCGACACCCATGTATTCACAAGATTTCGAGACTTTCACCCTGGACACTCCGGCCAACTTAATTCGCAATGGAGTCCATCCCCTATCTCTTCCCAAACAATGGAATACATCTCTTTTCTTCTCCCAAAAACATTATACATATACAATGTATTTAATTCATCGTCATATCTAATGACTATCCATAACACATGTTTAATGCCTTAATCATACCGTCATATTCAATGACAATTTAAACAATTAGTTTCAATTCACCTAATCATCATGCAATTTCTACAACAATCCTAGCTATCCTTCATCGATAGCCCAATACAGATATTTCTAAACAGATATACAATCTTTATAACAAATAATTTATCAAATTGTCCAAGAATGAGTGATTAAACAAATCCAACTACACCATTCATTTACACATTTTCCCGATTTCACATTTCTCACATCAATTTCATTATTTATACAAATAATATTCAAAACACATTTATGGTAAATCTCCCCCCCCCCTCCTTACTCAAATATTAATCCAAAGGCTAAAATTCATCATTTTAGCACAAGATATCCTCATATTCAAAACCCCATAATCATCTATGGAACACAACATAGAAACCCCTCTTTCAATTTGAGAACAAACCCTGAGTTTACCCAAAAAACCTCAAAATTTCCACCATTATACATAACCATAAATAACTAGGTTAAAACTCATACAAAACTATAGAATATCCCTACCTCAAAGAGAGAAGATGAACCAAAAAAGCGAGAAACCCCAAAAGTGCCGAAATCCAACTCTAATCGGTTCAAAGAGAAGATCTTGAGAAGCTCCGTCTTTTTATCAAAGGGAGTAGGGTGGAGAGATCAACGGATCTAGGCCAAAATGTAAAGAGAGAAAGTATTTAAGAGAGAGAGGCTCTCAACTTTAGGGTTTTGGCTGAAAAGATATGAAAAAGTGATATAAAAAATGCTTTTCGCGATCTGATATACGCGCAGTTCGCTCGAGCGGAGGGTTTCATGCTCGAGTGCCAGACACAAAGATTTGTTCTGCTCGAGCATAAAATACACACCTCCAGAACTTTTGCAGACGACAGACCAACCACTCGAGCTCAAGAAGGGACACTCTAGTGCACACCCGCTCAAGTGTAAGAAACGCCGCTCGAGCATGAAAAACATTCCTCCAGCATTTTTGCAGAGGTGTAAAGTACTGAGAGTTTGCAACTCCCGCTCGAGCGCAAGAATGACCGCTTGAGCGGAAGACCAAAAATCTGGG